CCCCAAAACCCCAAAACCCCAAAACCCCAAAACCCCTATCTCATAAAATTAAGCTGAAAGAATAATATAATATTAAAAATGTGTTGAAAGAAAATATTATGAAACAAAAAGAAATCTCTCAGGACTCATTTCTTATGGTCAATCCTCCCGATTTTGATGATCGGCCTACTATTAATATGTCTGTTATGAGTTGGCTACATGTATCTAGTCTTTATGTCTGAAATAAGAAGAATTGTGGTTCATTTATTGGATCTTAAAGAAGACGAACTTATCAGAAAAACTAATTTATCAGCATCGGTGAAGCAGATAATTCTCCAAGAACCACTCAATAATAATTATGTATTAAAGGGATTTATACAAGAAATTGTTAATGACAATCTTCCTATCTCTGAAAATTTCGAGATTCCAACAGTTGCTGTAAACTATCATAAAACAGGAAAGATAGATTACGACATGAGTTCTTGGTATAGTACTCCAGAAGTTAAAGCTCAAGAAGACCTGACCTCTCCTGAGATTGATTTCTTAAAAATAGCAGTAGCATTGCATTATCCTTTTAAGAATATATTGCTGGACCAGCTAGATTCAGGCATTGGAGTATATCATCATATTTACTACATATTTCAAGGTGGAAGAATGCTCTTCCAATATCCAGCTTATGACAACGATATTCTTACAAAAACATATGGAGAAGGATATCCTTGAGCAGATTACTTTCCAGACTCCGGAAATATGGAGTTCTATGATGGCCGTTGACGAAATTTTTATAAACAGGCTGTCAAAGATAAATTTGATCCAAGCACTTATGGACCATACCAAAATCCATCTGTTTCTAATAACTTCTTTGTACTTACTCTCAGCCAAGCTATTGATAAAGATGGAGAAGTTCATGGAGTGCTAAGTCATGATATTAATCTTAATTTCAAAGGATTCTTTGATCAATATTTAGTCCCAAGAGATGCTAACATGCATTACTTTATCACAAATTTTGAAGGAACTCTTTTTAAGCACTCAGAAGTAACAATTAAATCAACGAATGAAACTATAACTATGGCTGAATTTTCTAAAGAGGATACTTCTCTAAAGGAGGAACCCCAAACAAAGGAAGCTCAAAATTTTCGAGATAAAATGCTTACTTTGATGAAGAATCTAACTCATACCGAACTAACATCCTATACTAAGTTTGGAAGAAAATACAGAGCTTCTATGACACCAATGAAACTCATGATATTCACAGAACCAGGCACCAAAAATCCAGGTCCAGATCAATTCTTTATTTTTACACAGGTTATTGATGAAGAGAGTTTCGTTTCTTTCCTTACTGACCAGTCTGAACTTCTTCTCTTCCTTCTAATCTGGACCTCTATCTTCATTGCAGTATTTATCCTCTTAATCCTTTTAACAAGCTGGGCTTTAGCAAAAATCACAACTAGAGCACTAAAACCTATTCAAATCTTGAACACCAAAGTATCTATCTTAGTAAAGACTAATGGAGAACTGAACCTCGAAAACACAAAAGTCAGCATGAACTCCTACGAAGCTCAGAAAATGTTCGAGGTGTTTTCAGAGCTGATAACCACTAAGAAGTTCACTTCCAATACAATTTTGAAAAATAACGACGCCATTGCCATAATGGAATATGCAGAGGCCTATACAGTCTTTAAGGACAATAAGAAAGTGCAAGGAATTTGCATGACCAATATTGGCCATATCTATCAGAAACTCAAGGATTATGATGAAGCTGCAAAGAGATACCGTGAAGCTGCAGATCTTTCTCTTTTGTTGATAAATGATAGCGAGTCTGATGATCAGACAATATCAGAAAATTGGAAACTGTACTGTAAACGAAAATATTATGAAATAATATGCCTCTTCAAGCATACTCAAGATCAAGAGAAGTCAGTAATTGAAGAGGAAATGCCTAAGGTAGAGAAAGATATAGATTCTATTAAGAAACTGTTAAGCGAAAGGATGAAAAGATCTATCAGTGACATCTTAATAATGCTAAATTTGTATTCTAGTAAATGACTTTTAATGACAAGAAGATTGATCTCATCAGAAAGAGACCTTCATCTTGCAGTAATGATATTTAAAGAAGATAAAATAATCATTAAAGAAGATCGTCCGGATATTCCTATCATCCCAAGATGAATTCTCAGGCAACGAATTCTCTTACAAAAAGCGCTAATTTTAAAAGCTTATAGTAGGACACAAGAGTCTGCTCTCTTATTAACAAAACTTCTTAAATGAGGTAAAGTTTATGACCCTGGGACGAGAAAAGAAGCATTGGAAACTCTCTATTCAATCATGGCTAATTGCCCAGAAGGAAATCTGATAGAAAAGCACCCTGAAACACGAAATATAGAAATGATGTTGCAACTATTCCAAAGCGATAAGAATAAAAATATTATCCTCTGTGTTGACTCGATTAACTGCCATATGATTAATACTAAATAAAAGGATCTTGTGTGAAATATTTGACTGCCTAAACTCGCAGGATAATATATCCTTAATTTCAATGAACAAAAAGGTAAACAGAGTGTTCTCTCTTGCCCAAAAACAGAAAAACACTACACAACTATTTAACCAGCTGAAACATCTTCAAACTGTAGATAAGACGAAGCTATTCTTAGTAAAAGGAATTCAGAAATCTGTAGAAGAAATCAAAACTTATGGGAATGATAGTAGGCATTTTCGAAGTTTCTCCAACTACATAATTTGTATCTGTAGTCATGCAGATAACAGTAGTATCCAGGAGAAATACAGACAGTATTGGGAGAAATTAGAGCATGATATTGGTAGACTTCAAATCAACTTCGTATTCATCACTGTTGGAGGAGCCCAGAGCCAAGAATTTAAAAACATTAAGAAGCTAGTGAACTTTAACGACAACACTATTTTCCTGAATATCACTCCAAATACAAAATTTGAGAAATCAATCCACCAGAGAAAGTCAGATAGTGGTTCTCGGATTTTTAACAGAGAGAGCAACAAGAATTTGGAGAAGATCAGGATGCTTATGTCTAACATCAGCAATATCAAATCAATGGACGAGAATTTAATATTTGAAACATTTTAATAATATGGCTTAACACATCAAATGAAGTTTTGCTCCAAGGGGTTTTGGGGTTTTGGGGTTTTGGGGTTTTGGGG